ATGGGAGCTGTGTCAACGGTTTACATTTTCCATCATGGGAGAAAGGCTGAACTGCATTTGTCTTTGTGCTCTCTGGCTTTAAGGAGACAATGAAGCCACAGGAGATTTTTCCAAGCCCTTCTAACACTGTCCATTTACCATCCTCCCTTCCTCTGCTTTTTCATGCAACTCCCCCACAAACTCTTCTCCCTTACTGCTCCCTTCCCAGCCCCCCCACAAAAACTTCCCCTCCTTCAAGACAACAGTGTGTTAGTTAAAAGTCCACGTACTGTGTCACTCAGTATTTTAATCAAAATATTTCAAGCAGTTTAACATTCCTATGTAAGTTTCCACAATGCCTCACAAAGAATGAGCTCATAAGCAAATCCACGTAGATGTATGATAAATGACCAGAAAAACAGGTTTCTTTATGTCAGAAGCCAAGGCAGACAGACATTAGGCACACATGAATAACATTTTAATCACTATTTTTTTTCTCAGAAGAACACTTTCTTCTCATTTGCAACAAGCAATTTCAAGTACTGCAGGTTTGCACGATGCATGAAGACCAGATCATAAAGGAAAAAAGGTCCCCAAAGGAGGCCTGCCTGTGGCTGCTGCGCAGGCTGAAAGGCCTGTCTATGCCAGCGTGCCAGAGCAGCCACCTCAGCTCCTCATTTCCCATGCCAGCAACCTTGGCCGAATTTGAGAGGATCCAGAGTGTCACACCTCAAGCAATGCTATCTCCTTACAATAAAACACGTAAGAGGGAAGGAAAAAAAAAAAAAAAAGAAAAAAGAGAAGGAAAAAAAAAAAAGCCAGAGGAAGGCATTCTCATGTGTGGGAAGAGGGAGAACTTAAGTGATTTTAGCATGACTTTTAGTCACAGCCTTTCTAAAAGCAATTACTTCATTAAACCAAGTGAAATAACGTAGCACAGCTTACAGATAACATGCTTTAACATAATTACTATAAATAATATAGCAATTATACTCTACCTATGGAAGGCTGGGGAAAATAACCAGCTCAAGAAATCGGCCTTCAGTTTATTCTGAAATCATTTTGCTAATTCACCTGTGCTTCAGAGACCTGGCTACAAATGCCAGACCTATCAAATGGACTGACTGGGAGCCACCACTTGCTCCATCTATTAGCACGCCAAGTGTCAACAGCTATGTTTTGGGTACAATTTAGGAGCATGTGTTTAAACAATTTTAACCTTCCACTCCTGTTTCTTCAGCTTGAAGCTGTAATTGCAAAGGTTAGAAAGTGTAGTCCCATAGCACAGGACTCCCAAATAAATTCCTGTCTAGCTGAGAGCCTCCCAAACATGTTGTGTGATATCGTTTTAGCAAGCTCTTTGGCTCTGGCTGGCTTGCCTGTCCTGTGAAACAAGGGCTGTCCATTACCTACAGTTTATCATCCTGACAAAATGTGAGGAATGTGGATGTGAAAGCACTAACAATTCCACCCCTGGTGCTTTCTCCTTTTTTTCCCTCTGTATTAAAACCGACAAGATTAACCCAAATGCAAACTGCAGAGCATAGTTCAAGGGGCTATTCAATCGGTAGTGAATGTGCATTTGTTTACCTACAAAAATAAGAATTTCAGATACAATGAGAAGCAGACTAGTCTATACGCTACTGAATAGAACATTTAGCAGGGTCATCAATTGTAGTTTATTTTATCAGTTTCTGACATGTTAGCATTCATTCAGAGGCAGGCTGTGAAATAGCCCATATATAACTAGTTATCAGAGGGAGAGAAAAACAGGTATATAATCTAACTTAATCAGTGTCAAAGGCACCACTTATGAGGATAACCTTCCACATGTCACTAAGGAGACCCGCCTTGACCGCTGGCCTGTAGCACACAGGGAAAGAGTGACGCTTAGACATAAGTGATGCTTTTTTGAATGAGATTTCTCTACTGCTTCACTGAAAGGTGCCCCATAACATTTCTCGTGGTCCTGCATGTCAAAGGCAGTGCAGAGCCCTTGTGAGGGGAAACTGAGGTAATCTATGCTATCTGCATATACATTGCTTGTCTTGGCAGAAACAACACAGGCAGAAATTCTCCCACTAAAAGGTGTCAACAGGAGTTAAACCTAGAGTTATTTTTCCTCTGTGTTTTCAAGATCAGATGATCTAAAAGTTCTTTAGATGATAAGTCTTTAAAGTATGCCAAGACCATCTAAAACAACAAAGCAATATAATCACAGGTATAATTATTTTATGGAGGTCACTTCAATCTCATGATTTGGTCAAGGCAATAAAGCAGATCTCTAAAAAGATAAGGGGGGACCAGGGAGGGGAGATCTGTGTTCCAGCAGCTACTGCATGCTCTCCATTCCAGCCACCTGCTAGAAATTATAACCCCTAGACTTCAGTGTAAAATGCTCACTTTCAGTTTATACGCTCACCTTAACCTAAAATTTATTATTTCATACTTTATATTAACCTAACAACTTCTCCCATTTTAACTGCCTACCTGTTCAGCAGATTTTTGCCTTGAGACATTCAATAGAGTTAAATGCACAGCTTCCCTGAATAAATTAACCAGCATCAAAGATAGTTATTATTTCAAATCTAGAAAGGAGCTTTATTATTATACCATGCCAAGATCTATTCAACAGCTTTACTTCCCAAGCTAACAATCAGCTTGAATCCAGAGTGAGGACAACCTTCTCTAAGGAGAAATTATTCAGGATCCTTCAGGCAAACAAGTGTGAGAAGAATTAGTAAGAAATTCTGCTGGGAGAGGTAGAGCTGCCTCACCAGCAGCAGTGTCAGGAATGCATTTGCAAGCCTCCTCAAACTCCAGGCCTCCAAGAGGCCTATAAATCACTAGCCCCAGCAATTGAAAAGACTAATTTTAATAGTGTACTTCTTCACTGTGGTGATTAAGCCTCAATGAATCACTCAAGAAAATTCAATTACATCAGCAACACAACCTATTTTTAAGCGTGCATTTAAGTTGAAAAAGTAATTAGATATTATCATTAGATCTACCATTAACAACATTCAAACCTTTTTTGTAATCAAACAGTTTAGAATTAACTAAATGGAAACACAAATCGTGTTTGACAAAAGAAGCATATCCCCAGGCTCCGTGAGATGGGCTGAATTCAGCTGCTCGGATGCCTTCGTTTCACTGATGGCTAATAAAAGCCATCAAGGTAAGTTAAAAAAGAAGCGAAAGCAGGTTGGGGCTGGCAGCGGAGAGCCCCGAGCAGCCGGCTCTTCTGCTTTGGAAGAGTGACCTCTGTAGGCACAAACCCAGCGAGGCCTGCGATGCAAAAGCATTCCCCTTCCTCCTAGGCCGAGCCAAGGCTGTTTTCCACCAGCACAGCAGGCCCACTCCTGCAATGCAACCCCGGCTCTCAGCCTTTGCCTTTCGAGAGCTTAAACAGCCTTATAAAGCCCGCTTTATAACCGGCCCGGCCGCTTCGTCCTCCCCAGTGACGCCGTGCCTTTCTTAAGCCAAAGAAAGGCTTCAGCTGTGCAACATCAGGCAAGCGCTGAGCCAGTGACTGGAGGTAAATTTTAACAGGCTTCCCACCTGATGCATATACAAAATAAGTATTTGTCAATCAATATTACAAATAAAGACTCTGAACTGAAAAGTCCAGCGCGCTCCTGCCAGTTTCTTTTTTTTTTTTTTTAGTTCTTTTTCCCTAAGAAAGATTAGGAAACTTCTCGGTAAAGAGAAACCAAGTATTAAAAAATAATACAGGCAGAAGTCTATAGTAATTTTTTCGTTTAGTGAAAGCCACAGCAGATGATGACTGTAAGGCAATGTAACTTGGTAAACTTGAGATGCTACTCCTAGTTCAAACTTTGAAATCTTCACCAAAGTCCTAGAGATCCTGCCACCTGTGCAGGATTAATCCCTGATCCAGGAAATACTCCATTCATACTTGTCTCATCACTACCTAACATTTCCTCTACAAACTCCCCCGGGAAAACAAGACATGTACTTACTGGAGTTAATGGGAAACGCTAAATTCAATTAACACATTGCATATTTAATTTTAAACATATATAACTGAAGATGGAGCATGCATATAAAAAAATTATTTTAACCTATTTCTGCTTTAAAATTCCCTTAACTCATTAGAGTCCTACTTCTTCCTATCGTGATTTTTGTTCTCTAAACTAGTGATTCTAACCACAAAAGTTCAGAGGCTCTCACAAGTGAACAAAGCCAACTTCCATTTTGTACGTCAAAAATCCAAGGAGACAAAAGAGAAGTAGCTTTACATCACTGCCTGAGACTTTTCTTTAGAACAGCCCACTTTTCAAAAAGTTCCTCTTTCTAACAGCAATAATTTTGTGAGTTTAAGTAAAGAAGTTTTTTTTTTTTTTAAGATAACGCATCTCTTTTAAGAGTGAGCTTTAAAAGAGAGGTCCTGGGAACGCATGTACATTTTCGCTGGGGTTTGTTAATGAAGAATGACACTATATGGTTGTGTGATGGGTAATGCTGAGTTCATTACTCACTGACATGTGCCTTGATACCATCAACTCCACAACCAAATTTAGCCCTGTTATAAGCAGATGTAACTTCGCTGGAGTCAATGGGATGAGTTTGCATCTGCAGACGGAGAAGTTGGAGAGTATCACCCTTTCCTGGCAACTCAGCGCAGCCCGGCTCCTCCGCTGCTCCAGCCCGGGCGAGCCCGGACTTTGCCCGCAGATTTTATCCTGCTACCGCCGCACCACTCCCCGGTCCGCCGCCCTGGTCCTCCCTCATCCCTTCCGAGACCCTCCCGCCAGAGGCAGGGGGCGACGGGGCAGCTCCGCCGTCACACGAACCACCGGCCCCGGGAAGAGCCGGATCCCGCTGCCGGCCAGGCCGGAGCCCCCGCCGCCGCCGCTCACCGCTAGCGCACTCCGCCCCGTCCCCGTGTCTGCCGGCGGCCGCGGCCGACCTGCGGCACCGTCCCGTCCCTCCCCCGCGCACGGAGGACAGCGCCGGTCCCCGGGGAGACGGCGGGCGGGAGCGGGATGGAAACTTACTTGGGGTTAGAGGAATTCCAATATATGGGGTCTAAAACGATGGACCGCGCCAGTGCAGTTCTGCATAAAACCATCACGGCTCCCCAGCAGTACTTCCAGGCGGAGGCATCTCGCCTCCGCGCTGCCATGGTCGCAGGCGGCACCGAGTCCCTCCCCGGAGCCTCGCCAACTCCGCCGTGCGCCTTCCCACGCACCTGAGCGGCAACAGCAGGGTGGGTGCCCGGTATCCCAACAGCCGGGATGATTGATAGGAAAAAAAGAATAATTTAAAAAATTTTTTAAAAAATCAGTAAGGGTCGACGATGCACTTGGCGAGAACTGCAAGCAGATCTACTGAGTCATGTATGCCACTCGCATGTAGGAATATCTCCTGTGAGGTCAGATCCAAGCTACCTCCGAAGTAACAGCAATAGAAAAAAAAAATAAAAAAAAAGCAAACGCCTTAGTCCTTCCTCTTAGTGGGGGTCTCCCGGCTGCCTTGGAAGATGCCACTCAAACTGCCAACTCCCATTTGGATCCAGAGCGCCATACGCGTTCACAGTGTCTAAGGCCCGCGTGAAAAGGAGTAAAACAAAAAATAAATTAAAAAGAGGTAAAATAAAGGGTAGCGGGAGAAATAAAAGGGTCGGGGGGAAAAGGACACAGCTTCGGCGGGCGGCTCCTCCTGTATGTCTATCACTGCTCCCCGCAGTTTGCAATCCGCACGGGCACCAGCTCAGGCTGTTTCGGGCAGCTCGGAAGCAACCGCGAGTCAATAAATCCACTCCGAGTCAGCTCCCCCAGTCCCGGGGAGGCGCATCCGCAGGGCTCCGGCTTCCCCGAGGGGCACTGCTGTCCTTGTCGCCGGCAAAGACCACGGAGCGGAGCAAGGAAAGAAACAGGGACGGACAATAATGATTACAAAAATAAAAAAATAAAATAAACCAAAACGGGGGGGCGGGGGGGTCGCAGCGTCAAATCGTCCCTCTCCCGTTGCGCGACCTGCAGTGCGCGCCGCGGCGGCTGACTGAGCAAGAGGAACGACGGGCGCGGGATTTGCGCCGAGCGCAACCCACCGCGGAGGAGAAGGAATGGAGCGAGGGAGGAGAAGCGGCGCCAGCCACTGTCGTTCCCAGCGCGGCGCTTCCAACCTCCGATGCCGCCGCTGCGAGTCCCCGGCGCAGGAGCGCGGCCGGCGGCAGCGCGCTGCCGTAGCCATATAAGCGCGGCCCCGCTGCCCCGCCGCCGCCGCTCATAGGGCCGCCGGCGGGCCGCCGCGCTGGTTGGGCGCCGCGCCTGTCACTTACCGCCGAGCGGCGGGCGGGGCCGCGCCGAGCCCGGCCGAGCGGGCCGGCAGGTAACACCCCCCGGCCCCGCCGCGCCGCGGGCGGCCGCTGCCCGGCGTGCGGGGAGAGTCCACTCGCTCTGACTCACAGCGGGGCTGTGCGGGGGGCGCGGCAGGCCCAGATGGAGCGAAATCAGGGGAAAATAAAAGAAATAAACACTAAACCCCAGCCTTTGCTAAAACTGTTTCCCAAGTACGCTGCCGTTCAAAGAGCGGGATCAGCGGCAGGGCCGGGAGGCGCGGGGCTCCCTCTCACCCTGCCCGCCGCTGCGAGCGCAGCCCCCCGGGGGAGCGCGGCTGCAGACGCTGCGCTGCAGCGGCCACCTCCGCGGCGCGGCGCGGGAAAGGGCCGGGCCGTGTTCCCACCGGCGCGGAGCTCCGCGCACAACTTTCTGCGGGTTCCTTGCTGAGATGGAGGCCCGGGGGTGCTTCCGCGCTAGCTTCCCACCGGCCCTTCCCACGGCTTCTGTGAGTTTTCTAAGTTTATCTGGTTGCGCGACAATTAGTCGTCTACAAACGGGCCGTCTGAATTAAAGAAGAGTCGGACATGCGGAGCCCTCCAGAGGGATGCAGAACGGCGGGCAATGCGGGGCTCCGGGGCCGGCCACGGATTCCCTCGCCTTTCTCTGGCCATTGCTCAGAGACTCTTTCTTCCCCTCTAGATTTTCGTGGGGAAGGGGTTCGGACACAGTTCATTTCCAGACGCCGCGTATCCCAATGACCCGGCACCTTGCCCCGTTATTTCATTCTATCATTAATTTCTGGCCAGAGGGAGCTACCTGCGGGCAGCACTGGAGATGCTTTCCCCGCGGCCTCGCAGGTGCCCCGGGAGGCGCGGAGGGCGCCGGGGGGTCGCGGGTGCTCCCGACGCCGCGCTCGGAGCCCGACACGCCGCGGCGGCCGCGGCGCTTGCACGGGGCCACAGCTCCCACTAGCGGCCGGCGCTGCCCTCCGCCGGGGAGCGCTGCCCCGCGGCTCTCCCCGCCGCCGCTCCCCCGCCCGCCTCCTGCCCGCTCCGGCGCCCACGCCGTTCCACCGGCAAAAGTCACCGGCCAAAGCCAAGCGGGGCGGCGGTACCGCTGCCCCGGGAGGTGGTACCGGGCTGGGGAGGCGGCCCACGCGAGGGGGCTGCGACAAGAGCTGCACCGAGGCTAAACAGGGGTGGTGTAAATGGCATAGTCGCTCCTGTGAAATTAAGGGGGTTACCGAATTTCTTCCAGTAGGGATTGCTTGCCAAAATAGTATCTGCAGAAAGGATTAAAAGTTAAATCCCAGTAAATTGCCGCGCTCTTTTCTGCCATTTCCCTACCTATTAGTCGAGGCATGCAAAGAACATCCTACCAAAAACCCTAGTAAAGAGCCAATTTTGCATAATTTTATTCCTGAAGAAATATGTGTATTCGCTTAAAATTCGGCTTCGTGATGGTACTCGTCCGACTTTTAGACGAACGCCAAGAAGCTCTTATAAGGAAAAAAACTGGCACTGTAATTTATTTCCCGGATAAATTTTGGAAGCCAGCGTTCTCTTTCGACCCCTTTTGAACTAAACGGGCGTTTCAGCCTGGCAGAGCCCGCTCCTCCCGCTCGCAACACAGAGGAAAGAAATTGGAAGCGCGCTCGAAGCCCCATAGATTTTGAGTTAATTGTGTTCGGTAGTTCTCTAATGAAATCTACCACTCAAGAAAACAAGGAAATCAGTTTGCTTTTCACACAAAACATCGAATACGTTTTAAGTAAACTGCTTAATTAAATTTAATTTGCAGTGAGGAAGGAATTGCAGATCCGGCGACGCAATTTGGTGGAAAAGGATCTGATTCCCGGGACGGAAACTTAGCACTCAAGTGGGAGCTTAGGTATCTATGCACACCGAGGGGCATCAAAGGAGAACTTCACCAGCGAGGGGAGGAAAGTACTTAATTATTAAATTTTTAAACAAATGTGTGGTGTGTAGCCGGTCGTGAGGCAATGTAAACACGGAGCCTGATAAATGCTTCCAGCAACAGAGACGTGTAAAATAGGTCTACCTCAATTTCGTGATGCTGCTGCTTCTGTTTGTTTAGAAGCAAAAGGTTACGAGCGGTGTTTTGTAGAAGTGGTGAGTAAACTGTGACCTCTAACTCTTCGTATCCTTGCTTTAAGTAAACCAGAGGAAATGAAGAGCCCTGGTATTGTCTGAAAATATCCTCTCGTAGCTAAATATATCACACGGCTCCTATTGTCCAGTGCCTAATCATTTTTACGCAAATACAGCTGTTTTACTCTACTGTCCAGCATCCTACCGATGCACACTGTAAGAGTATAAAAATCCAAGTTAATAAAATATTTTTTTCAGTAAAAACTAAGACAAAACTGGGCGCTTGCTTCCGAGATAACCTAATCAACAAAGATTAAGATATCCACAGAAACGCGGGCTCGGTGGCTACTCTGCTCGGGTCACCCTTTTTGGCCGAGGATCCGCTCCCTGCGGTTGGGTCGGGCCGCAGGGCCCTTCCAGAGCCGCAGAGTTACTGACGGCTCCGAGCAGGGCCGGGCCGGGCCAGGAGGCGGGGGCCGGGGCCGGGCGGGGCAGGCGGCGCTCGGAGGGGCTGCGGCGGCGCGGAGCCCCTGGGCAGCGACCGCAATCTTTCCCCGGTCCCGACCCCTGCGCCCGCTGCATCGGCCTCCAGCCTCTCCGAGAAGCGCCTCGGACACGGGAGAAACGTGAGAGTAAAAGGCTGGGGACTGGGGTTTCAAAGCAAAAAAGCCGACAAGTGCTCGGAAGTTAGAAATCGGCTTCGGCCGCCTCTTCTCTGGGGGCTGTTTCAGGAGGAGGTCCCGGCAGACATTTCGGGTTTCTCAAGGAGCGCGGTTTCCTGGCAGACGAGCGCACAGGGAGCAGGCTGCGGGGGGAAATCCTGCCGCCGCCCCACGGCGCCCGGGCGGCCCGGCTCGGCGGGCGGGCATGGACGCACTAATGGACGGATGGTGGATGAGCGCTGCCAGCGAGCAGGTGAGACCTGCCTATCCCTTGCCTTCCCTGAAAATCTGGGACTTTGCTGTTTGTGCCGGTTAAACCTCTATTCCTGTACCTCACACTAGCTTAAAAGATAAAAAATAAAATTCTGTTCATCACTGAATAACCTCTTTCACCTTCTTTCTAGCAGTGATGTCGGCAATAATTAGGTAGATACGGGCTCTGGTACTACAAAATCCATAATGAAGGGCAGATAATCTGAATGGGAACAGGATTGGGCCCACAATCCCAGATTCTCTTTTAAACATCAGCCTAAACATGAAATTTTTGAAGTGGAAAAGCTCACCATAATTCTTTGTTATATGAAAATATACCAGTTTTGAAAGTCAAAAAGATATAACTCAATGGATACAATTTCTGCTAAATTCAATAAAGAGCAATGATCATGACTGATGCTTATTCACTTGAATGGATTGTTTATCGTTTGTACAAAAGGCCAAGTGTGCCAGATACTTGCAACAGCTCTTAATACGTAATTCACACTGCAACAGTGCATTTTCTGCACTTATGGTAGAGTAAGTACATGTCTAGATGTTAATTTGCCTTCACCAAGTCCCTTTTAGAACTGTAGTTTTGGTCAACTTAGCTTCTTAGAAAATGAGTTTGGCTCCTCCTAGATACACTATAGAATTCAAGCAGCCTTGTAATAAAAATCATAAAGACGTTCATACATCCAAACCATGTCTTTTAATTGTGTTTGACTTGACTTATGCTGATTCTCTGTACCACTCCTTGAAAACAAAAATATTTACATTATTCTATGGTCTGTGATATGAGGGGTAGGAAAAACGACCTGGGATCAAGCTTCTGCTACAGAACAGGCCTTTTATTGTCAAAGGGGATCTATGTCCTTTGGAGCAGAGCTGATGCTGAGCTAGCATAACCCTTGATTCTGAGTGTCAGTCCATGAAAGATGATTGTACACATGAGGCTGTATAGTACAGAAGTGTCAACAGAAACTCAGCACCCTTCTGCAGGCTAACAAAATGGTGGGATGGAAAGAGTGGAATAACCCTGAAATGCACACGTGGCAATACCAGCATGAGAATGGAACAGAGGTGCATGAAAGTCATGGTTCAGGCTCTTGCTAGACTGGCCCGTCAGCCCGAAACCTGGGCACTTCACTGTATCCTCCTGCCTTGGAATGAGCCTTAGGCACACAGACAGCTCCACAGCTCTCTTCTGAAATAAATCCCCCCTGTAAACAACCTGGAAGATGTTCATAGACTTGAATTTCACCTGCAGTTTCACCAAGTTGAGACCTTGTAATGACAGAGCTAAGACCCCAAAAGCTCTGAAAATGTTTAATGAAATACTGCATGCAGTTAAAAGTGAATAATAACCAACATCTCCATATTTGGTGTACATGCAAAAAACAGCAGAAACTCATTCCTGAAGGCATTTTCCTGAGATGTTAATAGCATCACAAAGAAGGAGATATCAGCTTCGGGTCAGGAAGGACAATAGATAGGGTGAAGTGTATGAGGTGGCACATAGCTCAAGAGAAAAGGAGACACCAAAGGTCTTCTTTTTCAAGACAAGATAGGAATGGATGAACTGTTGATACTTTAGTGAGATTATACATACGAATGCAGTTGCTTGGCAATACTAATGTAATTGTCTTTGCTTTGTTAAGCTGCATGGATGCTGTCCTTCCAATACATTTCTCAGGAGTCAGCTTACCACTTGGGCTTGGAAAAATGATGATAAATGAACATGCAAAGTTCAAAGGGCAGTTTAGCAAATTACCAAAGTAAGAGCACATGTTTAACATGCTGTTCTAAGGCCTTCCACGCTCCTACCTTTGCCAGACAGATGCACTGTTTCATATTAAAATAATTATCCAGGACATTTATGAACAAGTTTGGGAAAACTAAGATCTCTTCTGTTACCATATAAGGGAAATGAATACTGCTCAAGGTAGGCGGCAACAAAAATGCCTACCTGCCTCCCTGGGGTGGTCAACGACACACAAAGTCCCAGAACAACCCAGAACTTGTCTAACCAAAATTTGAAGTTCAAACTTCAAACTGTAATAAAATAAAAATTAAATACTGAACACAATCACCAACAGCATTTTCTCTATGCAGACACATACAAGGAGCTCACAGTTTAAACACTACATGTCAGTCTATGTTCCTGCATACTTTGTGTTAAAAGGGTGTGAAGTCCTATGGGAATACAAGAATATCCTGAGTTCTTATCATCAAATGTCAACTTGCCCCCTTTCCAAACTATATGCATATATATTTTTCCTAGAAATCAACAGTATCTCTGAAGTCCTACAATAATTTTAAAAAGAAAACCCTACAGCAATGCAAACATAACATTCACCCACACCAGGTCTACAAAGATCTGACACAGTGAATGCCTTAGGACAGCAAAGAGACAGCAGATTCCACCAACTGAACTTCTACCCCAACAGAGGAAATCAAACCAAACCAATGCAACGATCTAACTGCTTTTCTTTTTTTTTTTTTTTTTTTTTGAGGGCAGGGGAAAGAGAAACAGGTAGTGAAATGTGGAATGGTAGGCAGGGCAATTTCATTTGGGATGGGCATTTTGTCCCAAAGATAATCCTAGAGGCGGGACTGAAAATAACCTGGTAACATCTAAGCCTACACAATGTTACATGCAGAGAACAAATGTTGCTCTTTAGCAGCAAATTAGGTGATGCAGAACAAAATGCTTGATACCACAGCTGTATGTATGATTACTTAGCTTCTTGCTTTTAGAAGAGGAAACAAAACTGCATAGGTCTGTTTTGAGTATTGACTTTTAATAGCTTGTTTCTCATAAGGGAACAGGGGATGTTTTCTGCTTTAGAAATACAGGTATCAGTTGATCTTTAAACACAGCCTGCTCCTGCCAACAGGTCATGTACATGATTTATTTGGCTTCAGATTTTGTTTTTATGCATTAAGCAACTTTCAACCTTCTTCTGTCACACAATATATAGACAAATTTAAGTACAGTAATAGTGTGGGTATTTTACCATCTTCACATTTTCTTGACATACTGGACAAAGTGATACACATCAATCTGTCCCCAAGCCCCAGTTTCAGACAAAGCTTGTGGAATACTGCTTTCAGTGGCACATTCAACTTGCTCCCATATTTAATTTGCTAAATGTACAGAAACAGATTCTTTGGGAATATCAGGAATTATTTCCAGCTTTGTCCAGTGACTTTCAAATGCTCAGGCCAACTACTGGTAATTTTATGGTTACTGTCATTTTATGGTTACTACAGATGTTGCACAGACAGGAAAAAGTTTTAGAACTGGACAAGCTATAGTAATCTAGATTTTGGTAGAGGAATTACATACAAAAATGGGGACTTTATATATATAGTTTTCAATCTGTAGTTTCATTTTTCAAAATAAAACCTGTATATATAAATGGATAATATTCAAGATCTATATAACAGTTGCTTTCTGGCTAAAACAAAGTATTTAGACAGAATCTCACTTTCTGTTTTTCAGTTCAAATATACTAGCCAGTCCAGTCCTTTGGGAGAAGAAACTTCCATTTTTAAATCCTTTAGGATGCATCAGATTCATTATATGCTAATGACCTTAACTTATACAATATATTATATTAGGAGGTGAACGGAAAGGGTTTAGATATCGGAAGTATCAGTCTGGGTGCAGTAAGCCAAACAGCCGTTTAAACATGATACTACAGCTGAAATAAGTCTCTGTCAGAACAAAAACCAACATTCATAAAAACAGCAGCAGCCATCAATAACATTCACAACTGCAGGGATTTTTTTACTGTGTGTGATTTTGCATTATAAGTAGAAGCCACAATAGTTTAAAGCAAAATTTAAAAAAATATTACTATAGTCTTGAATTTAATAATGTGAATTGTCACTCTTATAGCTGTTTATAGAAGTGTACTAAAAAAATTTACTTAAACATATGAATTTAAGACTTTCACTTTATTCAGCAAATTGGTTTATTTACACAATGGGGAACGCTGGTTGAATGCTGTCAATGTAATAAAAACAAATCTAACAGAGACAATACTGAACTCTCTCTATGTATTCATAGCAGAAATGACAAACTATTTCCTTACCTGTATCAGGAACATCAAGCGCAACAATGGGACAGTATCATAGGACACTGATTTAACAATAAACCACAGAGGTCCAGTAATACTATGGCAATTTACTCATGTATTTACTGACTTTAAAATAAAAACATTAAAAGTCAGCAATACCCAGTAAAAAGTTCTGTCAATTATCAGAGTCAAACTCTGATGAGTAGGTCAGTAAAACCTTATCAGATCATCCACAGTTCATAAAGTGACATGAGTTGCTTCAGACCACCAATACAGAAACAAAATTGATGAAAACAGATTATCCTCTAAAAGGCAACGATGATCTGATAAGGGTTTAACTTAATGGAAGTTAAAAAAAAAAGAATTGCAGAGCACAGCCCCTATTAGAACAAGCTAACTTTCCAACTTTCAAAAAAGACAAAAAAAAAATTTGAGAGAAAGAAAAAAAAAACAAAAAACACTTCAACATGAAGCTACCATACAAAGTTTTTGTTTGTTTTCTTTTTTTTTGTTGTTGTTGTTTTTTGTTTGTTTCTTTTTTTTCTTTTAAGAGTTCAGAGTTGAAATTTAATCCTGGCTTTTTAGGGAGAAGGACAGTTTTGGCCTAGACTTTCCTTTGCCCAGGATAATTTTTTGCTCTTCCTTTTGCTGACGCTGTCTCTCTTGTTCTAGTTTCATCCTCTCCTCATGAATCTTTCTTTGTTCTTCAACAATTTTCAATTGTTCTTCAGCCTATATAGGAAAATGGTAAAATTTAGGCCAGTGTATTTTGTAGTCATAAAAGCAATTTAAAAGTCCATATTAACTTCCAAACAGGTCAAATCCTGTGTAAGTATGTAAGCAGTTCTGCCTGAGCTGGGTGCCATACTTGGTTTCAGTGAAACCATTTATAAAATAGTTATTTGAATTGAGTTTAAAAGAAACACTGAGAACTTTCTATAGCTAGTGTATTGAAATCTGGAGTGCTTACGTGCCAAGTTTTTCAGCATTGCTTTGCAAACAACACATTAAATTTTAAATAAGGAAGACATTGTACACATCGTGAAATTGTCCCAACACTTGTCACATGCAAGCTGAAGTAACATACACACATAATGAAGTCATATCTTCAGGCCGAGGTCTCCCTGCTCCAAAACCCATCTAAAAACCCCTCCTAATCCAAAACCATCTTCACTTGATTTGCAACGAGTCAATCCTTACATTGACCTATGGTTCTTACAGCTCTCCCAGTGGTCTCCTAAAGGTGCTTATTTAGTTCATTACATCAGTCAATACTTGAAATTTTCCATTTGTCCTGTTTCTACCATTAGAGGTTGCGAAAAGGGTAAAACAGAAAGAAATCTAAAGCAGATGTAGTTCAAGGAAAAAGATTTAAGAAGCCTTATTTTTATATGAAAGAGGTGTAATAACTTGGGCAATTGAAACTGACAGAGTTCAATCAGGATTTAGAAGCAGCTTAGTTTGTCTTATCATCAATTGATTAGAATCAGCTAAATCATATTGAATGTTTTCATGTGGCAAGCACCTGATTTAAAAGGGCTTAAGAAGACCAATGTAAGTTAGACTTTCCTAGCTTACACATCTTAAGCTTATGCTGAAAGTCCCTTTCAGCACTTCTACATCAACATTATACTAGAATCAAATCTAGTTTGTACTTGTCCTGTTCAACAAAACAGAATCAGTCACACAAAGCTGAACATGTTGGCAAACTTACTTCAACCCTCCCCATGAGATTGAGTTAAAACATACTTTTTAAATTCTGAAGGCAGTAATTTCCCCTCTAAATTAACTGCATCCAAAATATTTTACCAGCCTAGTGTTACTGCTAAGGATCTGCTCTTTCATGCTTAGGGGAAGGAGAGCAATGTTACTGATGGAACCAGCAATAGGCAAGTTAAACTCTAGAAAAGGTTGATTTGTTTATTTTAATTGTGTTGCAAATCTGGCAGAGACACCTGTATTTCCCTACAGAACAGTTACTACACCTTCACATACCAGTTTAGCTTGTGCTTCTGCAATTTTTCGATTATTCTCTTCTAGTATTCGCTCTAGTTCCTCACGCTTTGCACGCTCTTCTTCCTAAAGGGGAGGACAGGGCAAGATGTTAGTAAAGTAAAATATTTATTTCTGCATGTTCACTAATCTTTCTCAGAATTCTTTTGTGAACTGACTTAAAAGTGGCAGCTTTACAGCCACCTATTTTTCCTCACAACGGTAAACTGTGCAGCCACTAAAACTGGTTTCTAGCACTCAATTTAAATCATCCCGCCCAGTCCAAACAGCAACCAACTAAACCCTCCCTAATCATAGAATCCTGACAATTTATTACTAGAATTTTAATATCACACAAATCAACAAGGACAACTACAAAAACTGGATAGTATTTACCAAATTAAAAAGTAATATAGAAAATATAAATAAAGTGAATAGTTTGTCTCACCAATTAAGTATACCTACGTATTCTTTACCTATACTCCTTTAATCAGCATTAAAAGTTGAATATTTACTGTCTTGTCCAGTGTCCTGCAGAGTGTGCTCCTCGGCTGCCATACGCGCCAGCTTCCTCTTTAAAATGATTTGTACTGTTAGCTTGGCAATACCTGCATCAGCAGCTCAACCATTTATAAAGAAACAACATACAAGGAAGGCTGAGCTGAGGAATGCAGATGTTTATGGTAAGAAGGAACAAAAATATGTAAATCATTCCTAAGGCAAACAGTTAATAAGAAAAATACATTTACTGTTAGTGAAAAATACAAATGGTAATCCATACTTCATGGAGCTATGGGCTTCTTTCATGGGGAGAATGGACTTAACATTCAGTATTTTGACAATTTTAAGACAGCTGAAACTGTCTGCAGTATGAACTTGGAATTCAGGAGTCCAGGGAAGGCAAGATCAGGAAATAAAGCCTTGTAATTGTTGTTTTCTTGGTGAATTTTATGGAACTCTGTTATGCAACTCAAATATGAAGACTGAGTGAAAAATTTTGAAGTGTTTCAGTTCACATAATATATATCCAAATTATTTTTGAATTTTGGAAGATTTAAAGTTAGCCAGAGGTTTGTGTCTGTGTAAGAAAAAAAAGTTAATACGAACAAAGCAAGCATATGAAAACTTCTTACTATGACTAGTAACCAGCTACTAGCTAGCACACTTCACTCCAGGCATGGAGGTTCGTTCTGCATTACAAGGAACTGGTGGGACTTCTCCACGTGACGACAATGCCAAAAATACTTTTTTTAAAAAAACAAGTCATCCGTCTGATCAAATGAAAACCTCTACATATGAAGAATTTGCTGACTACAAACATGTAAAGTCAACTTAAACTGATATTAAAGTCTGAATTTGCAAAAAAAGTATAATTAATTCATTCTTTTTAGTATTTATTGTAACTCAGCATTCCATTTGTTTCCATTTAATTTGATACTATGTGACTGACAAGTCACATCTAGTATGAAGGGGAAAGCTGCAATGCTACTGTCTCTCCTTTCGCAAGCCAATCAAAATATTAATTTAAAATGAACTGTGTAGGATGCACAGAGTGAAAAAAGCATTTAGCACTTATGACTATTTAGCACAAATTTCCTCTATGGTTTGAAGTTTGTCTTGAAATTTCTGGATCCTGGAATGATTGGTGCAGGCAGGCATCAAAGCCTTTTAGTAGCAAATTACTGTCTCACAGAAAGACATTTTCAGCTTCTGCTCCAGCTGCTGATTAAAAAACAAAACAAAACAACAAAAAAAGGCCCCAAAAACCCAAGTCACACGTTCAGCTTGACTTCAGACAAGGGCAACCTGCTCTTTTATAACTTCTAGGGAGAAAAAAGGAGTTGTTAGTAGTTATTAAAAATGGATATAATGATTTGGACAGAGATCCTTCATGAAGACGTGGATGGGCTTATGCTCGAAGTCCCAGAATTAGTCCAATGTATGCTCAAGGAAAATGTTCATTTTAAATGAAGAATAAGAAACCTATTTGTTAAAGACAGGTACTGCAGCTCACTGCTGGACCCTGCTTTTTGCCTGGCTGAAGGCAAAAGCCTCTTACAGTCTAGGTAAACAAAATGAAACAAATGAAGGATACATAATTACATATTTTTTAATACCCTTCCCCAAAAATGAAAGGACTGCTGATAAATCCTGCAGCCATGGCAAAAGTTTCAAACAATTCTGAAATATATGTAGGTCAGTTCCATTAAGAATCAAGTATCCTTGTTCAGGTTTTAGGAGAGTAACTGTTTAAATATCAGTGAGCTCCTCTGAATAGGCTAGAAATTAAGTTTCGCAGCAATGCAAGTTTATATGAGAAGGGAATTAGATTTGCTGTATTCCATCTCTTTGTGAACCGAACAGGAGGCACAAACCGACACTGAAAGTTTTGCCATGGACTGTCTCTACTTTCCAAACGACCGAGCGTTACCTCTCTGGCTTTTTGTGCTGCAAGTTCAGCTTGTCGCTGTCGCTCGAGTTCTTCGAGCAACTGCTTTTCCATGATGCGCTTAGCCTCCTCCACCCTGCGCAGCACCTCTCGCTCAATCTCATCCTTCCTTTTCTCCAACTCTTCTTCCACGCGTTTAGCTACAAGTTCTTCCACCCTTCGAGCAGTTTCTTCCTCTATGAGTTTCTCTTCAATTTCTTGTTGACGACTGCAAAATGCAAACATGAGGATTACATTTTTAATCAATAACGTTGGCACTGAAACAAACTCCTTCAACATGCACCATCAGCTATGCTACTGAATGTTCTACACATAGATTATATATTTAAAGAATATTTTGCCCTACATTTAAAGAGAGTGAATATTCAGGCAGTGTTCCTATAACAGGGAATCCATTCAGACCATTCCTTATTTAGTATCTTTCTATATAACAGACTAAATTGAGGACAATTTATCATACTATTTCTTGATCACAGCTGGGAGGGAAAGAAAAAACCCAACCCAAACCAACAACTACAACACCATGTCCCCTTCCTCAAAAAATCCAAACCCCACCCAACTTTGACCATCATTCACCCTTCAGGAGTTTATATGGTCTCAATTTTAAGCCATATATAGCAACAATATCCTGTAAAATCTTGTCTTAAAGCCACTACCTTAGAGGCACCAAACTATCTCCAGTATCTTAAAACAGAAGACAGAAGCAATAAAATTTGTGATTTCAAATTTGTGATTTTACCTAGAATTCCAAGTGTTATACCTGTAATCTAGTTATCCAATCATTTATCTTCACAAATTTCAATAACTTCAGATTTTAACTTTTTTTTTATTGCAGGACTCTGTTTCTACCATAATGATCAAAACCAAATTATATCAATATCAAGCACTATATAAATCCTTGCAAACTGCATCTTTCTATGCTCAGAATTTTGGAAATATTTTCAAATGTCTTGCCCTTATTTTAGTTAAGCAGCAGTATTATCACTCAGCCTGATCACTGTTTGAATTTTTCATTAAAAAGGATACAAAAATCAGGTAAATTTGCAGGTTAATTACCACACAGAAAAAACTCCAGGTAGTAATCACAAGTGCAACATGGCAATTAGATATCCAAGGATGAACAGCAGTGAATACTCTGTATTTCATGTAGCACAATTCATGTGGAGTTATTATGGGCTTTGGGGAGAAGACTCTTGGTTTTAAACTTGATATTGAACTTCCATTTCAAATATTCCATTAAGTACAGAACAATCTTATGAAACTTTTCTTCTGTTCTAGCCTGCCAGCAACACAAATCCAAGATTTAGAAGAACAACTACTGTTGTAGTATCTTAATATGCTGTCATTTTCAGAATGACTGCATTTTCTTATCTCATTTGGAAAACCTTTCCTAATCTATCTTTTTTGAAAAACAACTAATTTTTAAAAAGTTACATAATTGACCAACTTTTGGATGAGCCACGGCACAACTTGCAAATATGCAATAGGAGATGTGAAGTATGGATTACTTATCTAGATAACCATGGGAAATAAAAGGTGAAAGGCTCCCAATTTCCCCTACTCATGTGTCATCTTTTCAAAACTACTGAGCTACGTGGACCTACTACACTTACTGAACTAAGTGGATCTCCTTCAGTAGAAAGTTTTGGAATCCCCAACTCAATGATTTGGCCAGAGAACACCAATTTTAGTCTTACAGCCCTTAAGAGATAGCAAATTTAGCTGGGGGCACATTAGACCAGCATTCATTTTTCCAAAATGGACTTGAAGTGATTTTTTTCAGGAAAAAAATGCCAAAGCAATATAAGGCAAACAAAAAACCTAAAATAGTCCCAGAAAAATGCATCAACCCCAGTCAAATAAATATGATTTTAAAAGGTTTCCCTTCCCTCTTATTCAGCAGTGAGTACTCTCACCATCCTGAACCAATACTGCTTAGTATACATAAGAGGCTGGGGTTCCAGAAAAATTGTCATTAGGATCATACTCTCATGTTTTATTTAACTACCATAGCTTTACATTTAACACCAGGAAATCTAGGAAAAGTTAGCTAATTGAATAAAGAGTGCATAGTTACAAAAATACCACTGCATTCATATCGGAAATAGATTTTCAAATATCCTCAGCAATTGATGATGCACTCAAATTAAGCACTGTGCCTGCACACGTTCCATTATTCTCACTTCAACCAACTCCATTCAAATTTAATTAAATGAATCAAATGTATTTTTAGACTTATAGGCAATGATATTACAATGGCTTAGACCTTATTGAGAAAATAAAATTATAAACACAGATGTCTTAGTGATTTATTCTGTAGCATACCAACTAATTTTTTTTAAATCACATGAACTTACAGTATTTTATCATTTTATCATCCTGGCCTACTGAGTTATGATTCCAGAGCAACAGATATGTCACTAATGTAAAAGACTATTTTTCGTATAATCCATTTTCTTCTGAAAGACTAATTGTATGAAATCTGCAGAAAAGCAACAACAACTTACATTTTACCAGACTTCTGAGGGGAAAAAAGTCATACTTGCAAGGCAAGGAAATGAGCACTATAGGAAAGGGCTGAAGTTAGGCTGTGCATTGTGATTTGAATAAGACGTGAGAAGAAGAAACTCAGTTCCAATGTATAAAATGTCCGCTAATGGATTCAGTCAGAAACTAAATTCTTCTTTCCTTATCTAACATGAATCTATACCAACATACCTAACACAATTTACAGATGGCTTACTAAAATACCATACTCTTCTACTCTGAATTTTATTGTGGTTTTTTTTTTTTTTTAGTTTAAAATGTGTTGCAGAAGTATCAAAATTCCATCCATACCAAATCTTTTCCAATACTGGTTCTTCCTCAAATGTCTACTATTCTGTAGCAAGTATTGCTGAAATATCAAATTCCTTCTATAGAGACTTCATAAGCCTTTTAAAATTTCAAAGCTAACTTCCATAGAAAATTTACTTACACATGAACTAAACCAGCCCTCAAGTACTAGAATAAACTACTCAGTCTATTCTCAAATTTTTAAGCACATTCCAGTTCTTCATTGTAGATATGCACACAATATTTTTTCTTAATTTAGGTACTGAATTCTAAACCACGAAACTAGGATCAGTATGTCAAAATATGCCAGTTTTCACATGTTTGTGTTACTGTGGAAGTTTTTGATTGTCAAAACTCTGAAGTTAGCAAAGGTGATTATCTTCAAAGGAAAATGAAAGTGACAGCTTGGGCTCACCAAGCCCAACTAGTATTTCCTGAGAACGATATGGCTTAAGCTCCACCTGAGAATCAGCAGCACCACTTGGCTTCATATGTACAAACAAGTGCTTTTTCTGGATAAGGTGGTCCAATGAGCAAAGGTAGTGCTCAAAATAAAGAATTGCCGGATTACAAACCATTCTTCTCTCTGCTGCATAAAAGTCGGTTTTATAACTTTATATGCTGCTAAATATATTACTGCATCCCCATCGTTTATTAAAATAGTATTTATATCTGCAGACTTAATATAACCACACTCCCCAAAAGCATAACAGAAACTGAAAAAAGGGCAAGGTTTCAAATGAAACAAGTCACCGGATGTCACTGTCCCATTTGGCAAGAAAGTAATCCCACAGCGTTAATACAGCAGCTGCAGAGTTTCTTGAAGCCCTCACTCGAGCACCTCCAGATGCCTCCGCTCGGCGCGTAACCAGCTCCACGCCACGAAGGGGAGGGGCGGGCGTGTGGCAGTGCAGCACAAAGCCTCAGGGGCGCCGCGGCCTCCCCGCACAGGGAAGTTTAGGAGGAGCAGTGCAGCAGGGAGAGAGCAGCGCCGGCGGACGGCAGCGGGCAGAGCCGGCCCGGGGGAGGAGGCGTGCGGGGGGCTCGCACCCGAGTGGGCGGCTCCTAACGCACCTGAGGGAGCCGGGCTCCGAGAGAGGGGCGGATGGCGGGAAAACAGGCATCGCTCCGGCCGCAGCGAGGCCCAAAGGCCTGCAGCCAGCCGCAGGCGGCCCTAGCTCACAGAGAGAAGGCGCAGAGAGAGAGGCATCGAGCGCTTCCCTTCCTCCCCCATCCCTCACCGCCCCCTCGTCCCCAGCGCAGGCCCGGGGCTCACATTTTCCGCTGCCGCTCGAACTCTGCTTTTTTCTCCTCCTCCTCCCGCTTCTGTTTCTCATCCAGGCTGCTGCGCTTGCTCACCGTGCGCCCGAAGATGTCGATACGGTCGGGGGGGGAGGAGGCGCGGTCGCGGTCCCGGTCCCGGTCGCGCCGGGAGGAAGGGGCCGTATTGGAGCGCGAGCGGGAGCGGGACTCCCGGCGCCGGTTCCGCTTGCTCTCCCGGGACTTGGAGCGCTTCCTTGCCCGCTCCTTTTCTCGGGATCGGGACCGCGATCGGCTCCGGTTCTTCTTGTTGTGCTTGGAGCTCTTGGTGTGCTTGGAGCGGGACGAGCTCCGGCTGCGGGACCGACCCATCACGGCAGAGGAGACAAGAGGCCGCGCCGGTCACCGCTCGACCACCCCCGCCCCCTTTGCTAGCGGCGCCTGGGAGAGGTGCGAGGAGGCTCTGCGCGCATCAGCACCGCCCCGGCGGGCCCTTCGTCTTCTCCCTTTCCACCGCTTTGCGCTGCGAGGAAAAGGAACAGGCCCCGGGAGCGGGAGCGAGTCCGGACGCAGCCAAGATGGCGGCTCTGGCTGAGCAGTGACTCTCCTCTCCCGCCCCACAATGCACCGCGCCGTGCTCGAGCCCTTCGCTCCCCTCCCCGCCGCCTCCGGTGCCGCTCCGGAGGAGCACGAGAGCGCTCGGCAATTTTCGGCAGCCAATGGCGAGCGCCGCTCGGAGCAGGCCCCTCGGCGGCCGTCGCGGGGAGGGCGTCAGCCGAGGGGTCGCCTCAGAGAGAGTTGCTGTGTTTCCTTTGAAAGTTCTCTCAAACATTGATGATCTTCTTTTTATTTTCTTTTGATAGGGGGAACAGAGAGAATTATCACTGCAGGTGAAGGAAGTTGCGAAAAACACTTAGAACCCCCACTAAATTGTGAAAATGAGTTTTTGAATTTTCTGTTGTACCACTGTGAAAATCCACCCTTAAAGGGAAATAATCGCCTGAGATTCGTAAATGGTCATTAGTAGAAAGGAACGACAAAAATCCGAGGGGTCGCAAACAACCAGAAAGTTTTATCAGCGAATTACACACTTGGCAAAGAAATTAGTATGTTAGTCCCTGACCTACCTGCCGTGTACAAGCACACGGCATTGGGTTTTGGATAAAGGCACAGGGTGAAAGGGAAGAGAAGAATTAAAGAGGGGAAAATGAATTAAAGAAAGAAAGATGAAAAAGAAGTCAGTCCTGGTTCCAGCACCGACCCAGCTGAGGGGATGTCAGTCCAGCTGTGTCCGTCTGGCCGATGAGATGCCCAGGGTGCCAGCAGTCTGTGTCCTGCTGGTTTCAGCGTGGCACAGGGAAGGGCTGTCACATTTAAACGTATTTACCTGTAAACATTATTGTCCATTGTTAACTACAGGTGTGTAGGCATAGGGGAATATGAACTCAGTGGTATGCAGGTCAGGCAGAGAGTATGAACTCCGAGGTTCTATAGGCATCTGTGTAGGGTGGCTTTATCCCAGTTCTGCCATGTAATTGTTAGCTGTTTCTGCGATGACAAAATTTGGAACTGGTGTTATTCTTTATTTCAGTAAACTGGTGCAATCTATAGATAGTTAACCTCATTCTTTACTTTTAGTTCCTTGATATCTTTCGCAACTCGCATGCCTTTTTTTTTTTTTTTTTTTTTTAATAGGGCTGCATTTTTTCTAAGTAGTTTTACTAAGCTTGCAAAACATTCCTGTAGCCATTGGACATAATCTAATCTCACTAAAAGGTCTTTTCTTCTAATCATTTGATTGCCTTGCCTTCTTTTTTCTCGAAGGAAGACTTTCTGATTTTGAAATTCAGTCTATCTAGTACCAAAAATGAATCAAATGGAAGCATCTTTCTGATGGGTCACTGTGCAAGTAACAGCAGAGTTATGGACACGGTGGAACCTGCACGGCAGGAATTGCAGTGCCACAGGCCCTGGGCACTCTTGTTTGTCCCTAGCCCGGGGGAAGCTTATGCAACAGGTAACTAAGGAAGTTGATAATCAGACCTTTTAGCCCCTGACCGGGTGGGTGAGTTTCTAGCTGGCACCTTTCCTGCAGCAACTTGTCTGCAAGTGTGTACTGGAGCTTTTAAATTCGCACGGTGCATCAGGTTCTGGAGGAAAAATGGATCATAGCTTTTTTTAGTACTACATGTCATAGTGGATGTACTAAACTTGACCTGAAATGTTGCAGGGAGGAAGGGGCAGAATTAATTATTGTGTAGTCACTTATAACTATAAATGAGTTTAAAAAATATTTCTCATAAACCGAGTTTTGTCCTTGGTAAGTCACTATAACCTGGACAATTTATTGTTATTATATTCCTATTTAGTAATATTGATTCATCAGAACTATAAAATGTAATATGCAATATTTTGTGAGAACAATTAATTATGATCTATTGTGTAGAATTAAGGAATTATATAGATTAATGCAATAATTTTCCCCAATCCATTATTCCATTGTTCCATCTCATTTTTTTAAAGTTTCCAAATTAATAAGAACACAAGATTTTTAATACCTGTAATAGTTTAAGGTCATTAATCTATTTACTTTGTTATTTATGAGGACTAAATTCTAGTACTTCTGGAAAAAGCTGCTTGTCCTCTTAAAAATACATTCCTAATATTCCTAATAGATGAAAAATTAGTAGAAGAACATTTCTATCTATGAGTTCTTTTTGCTTTAGTTTGGTAGTTGTTTGATTGCTGCTTTTTTTTTTTTTTAATTATATCACCTTATTTTTCCTAGCCTACTAGTAGTAAAATATTTACTATTAGTAAAATATTAATATTTAGGTGGTTTTTTTCTGGATATAATTACAATTGATATGGAATAACAGTACCAAAAGGAACTTTTTAGTAAATACTTAATTTAAAACCTTTGTTTAATTACATAGTTTAATTTCTTGTTTTCAATTAATTAAAAAAGAAGATGGTAATTTCCCTTGTCAGTCTCAGTTCAAAATTTTCAATATTTGATTAAAGTAATGCAATTTCTTTTTATTAAATAATATTAGAATTTTGAAGTTTTTAATCCCATGTAAGTACATGTTTTATTCCCAGTTCACAAGACATACTGAATTTCCATGCACTCTTGTGTTTTTGCATTTTTTTTTCCATTTTAATCTATCTCAGTATATTAAAATGCATAATTTGCTTCTTAAAACGGTTGCCTTGGAGTTGGAAAATACCTTATTTGACAGCCAAATAGTGGCATAATTAAAGCACCTCACCCTTCTTTACCTTGGCTACTGTCATCACATGAAGTCTCTCAACCCATAGGCATTTGGGGGTAGCTCCATGGTGATACTGTGTTCTCATAATCTCCAAATTGTACCTGCTCCTGCTTGCACCACCACTTCTGTCATTAGCTGGGTCAAGAGGGATCTTGGGAGATTAAAGGTGGATTATTTTGGGTTGTGCTAGTGTGGCACAGCTGGATGTGAGATCTTTGCAATAGGTCTAAAATAGAAGTACTCTGGAGGGCAAGCAGGGGAAGAAAGCAAGAGCATAATAGGATAAGGTGTTTGGTGTGTAATTTGCTGTCATCTGGTATAGTCTGCCTCACAATAGTAAGGGGGCAGAAGTAGCACAGAAGAGCTAAGGAAGCAAAGGTGGTTTAAATGTGTATTGGTTCTTTCAAAGCAGCTGTTTCAAGCCAGAGTTTATTACAAGGTCAGAAACTGTGAATACAGGTTGGGGGGTTTTAATTTTTATTTTTTATTCTAAGGGAGTCAGCACTGGGATTCATGTCATGTAGATCACAGAAGCTGCACAGGAGTAGTTGTATCACTTAGTCACTTTATAATGATTTTTTTATGCCTAATTCTGGAGTTGCTTGTTGTGCTTATGCATTTTCTGTCAGGTGCTTTGTTTCTCTTTGAGCAGCTCTGTGGAGCTCTGAGCTGCTAAGCTGCAGAGGTGGGGAGATGCAGCACCCGGGAGACTGGCAGAACAGCTGTGAGGAAGGCATGGCAGGAGCATGGAACAGTTGGCAGAAAGAGAAATATTCTTTCTAAAACTTGAGAGAACAAGTCACCAAAACTCTGCTTCAAAGGACTGTGAAAAAGGGGAAAATCACTTTAACTGAAAGAATGTAGAGGAAATGCTGTAAAATGAGAAATTAAATCAATGGAAAGAGTTTTCACATGGTACCCATAAAGGAAAGTCGAGTAGATTGTATACATAAGTATAGTTATTAGGTAAAATAACTATTTTCCTCTTTTCCATATGTTCAGATGATAATCTTGTCCTTGGAAATGAGCAATACTGTACAGAATGCTGTTGAAAGTGTTTTATAATTTGAATATGCAAAAAGGCACAGCTTAAGTAATCAGGATTAGTGTGTGTATATACGAGATTCAAATTAATTTAAAACAATATCGGGTTTCTTTCCCGTGTGGATTTAGTTTTAGAAAATAAATAAAATTGCCAAATGTAGATCAATGTGGGAATATAAAAATTAATTATCAATGTGGGAATTAAAAAATTACATTAATTATCAATGTCAGAGACATTTATTTTTTTTGCTTTATGTAAGCCCACTAACCACTTTTTTTAACATTTGGACTGCTTTTATTCTGTCTACATGAAAGAAGGGAAAGGAATGTTCATTGGCATGCTTTGTTTGCAGTGCCTGGTCTCTTTATGTCCTAAACAAAAGCTCTTGAATGCTATTAGAAGTGGTGAACATAAGTTCTGATCACAACTTGAGACACTGATCTGCAAACCACAGTAATGCACAGTTTTCTCAGTATTTTTTTCAATATTATTGGTACTATGTGAAGTATACACATTTAAGGTCACATATAATTATTTATATATGGACCTATGACTTGGTCCATCAAAGTTTGGCAATAAAAGAAGTTCAACCAACCTTCCTGAGCAGCTGCACAATCATAGGGCTACTTTAACTCTGTAGGCATGCTCTTTTGTATCTGAAGGATTTAATAGCAATTATAGTTCTGGTATGTGTGACTAGGGATTTAAGCCAATCAGCAATGAGTTAGGTGTCATCTAAGCCTCATGAGGGACTGATCCAATGTGAATACTGGAATAATGCCTTTAAAAAAAACCCAAAAACCACGAACAAAACAAACCAGAGTAGCAACGAACACTGTTATTCAAAACCAGGTTGCTGATGATTTAGTGGTTAACATAGTGGTTAGACTTGTTGGACAAGCAGGAAAATGGGATTCAGGTGTGTCCTCATTCATATCAATGTCTCTTCCTTCCCATGACCGTATGTTAATCACCAGGCCAATGTCTAGGCTGGAGGAAGGTGAGAAGGGAGCTGGGGGCAAAGTTCCCCTCTGTGTCCTCACAGATTTCACAAAACAGAAAATTAATGTTCAAAAGCAGGAGGCAACATGTTGTAACCTAATGTCAGTGGCACTCTGGAAGTGGGGGAGCAAGTTGCTCTGGATTGAAGTCTATTCAACAGACTAGTTTTAAATTTTGTTCCATAATCATGAGAAAAGCTGGAGATCCTGAGAGCTGGATCACAAAACTTGGCAGGTGCTGGGACTGCTTGGGTGTTGTATAACATTTCCCCTCCCACGGCAGCTGTGTTTCAAAAGGA